TTACTGTGTTGTAGGTTGTCTGTTCAGACTTAATTTATGAGAAGTTTGATGGACTTATCCTTGACAAGTAATTGTTCTCCTTGTTAAGGGTTTCTTTTTTTTAAAGGAGAGACTGAAATGTGATTAAGTTGTATACGCTTTTTCCATTAACTGTCAGGTTCTGTGAAAATCAAACACCAAAAGTGTATACAACTCCTCACTGCATTAAATTAATTGGTGAGTTGTATAAGCAATTTCTTGCCTTGCTAAAACGGTCAACTTATTAAATGAGACCTGTCAGCTGCTTCAAGGGTAGGGGTAGAACAATGTTTTATAAAAATGTATTTTAATTAGTGTGGTAAGTGTCCTGAGTACACACTCTTAATTACAAAACCAGTCATCTGCTTTAACAAATAGTTTTACTGTCTGTCTACATACAGTTAGGGTTGTATGAAATTGCTCCTGTGAGGAAATCTACTTTATGAATTAGGAGAATGTGACACATGTGTATCTTCTTGCCATGTAATCTGTGTGTTAAGATGCTTTTTTATTCAGGAATAAGTATCCTATATATTTGCTGTGCTAATTTATTTCATAGTAAGTCACATATATAGTTCTACCTCTCCTGAAATCTAATTTTTTAGGTTCGATACACTGCTTTGAAAAATGAAGTTCTCCTGTTTCTGGGCACACATAGTAATTGTTTATATTCTGTTTATTATCATAATTAAGACAATAAAGTGGAGGTTAAATCCTGATACCTTGTTTGACTTTGAAGATGTTGGTTAGGAAGATCCTGATTTGTGTAATAGACAGTAACTTAAAACATCTGGGAGACAGGTCAGTACTTCATAGTGTATGTGTGTATTTGACAGAGAAAGCAATAGGTTATTGTGAATCTACCTTGGTCTATTGAGAAGCTGCTTTGAAATAGTCCCCATGTGGTGTATAAAAGAGGTAAAGTAGCAAAAATATCACTGGTGAGTGATTTCACAGCTGTTTTCTGTGGAATGCAGCTTGCCATAGCCCTACCTTTCTGTCGTTTGAGATAGTCTGTTGTTGTATTTTCAATTATTCTGCTCTGACATGTTTTCTTATGTATTCCTTTTGTAAAGGCTGGAAGTGTTTGTTAATAAAGGAAAAAAGAGCTTTTAAATGATTCCTCTTGTTTGATGAAATCTTAAATAGCTGCATGTAATGGAATTAAATCAGGAATCCTGCTGAAGCAGTGACATTTATGGCTGTATTAATGTTTGTAGTTTATTTTGAGAATAAATTCAATTTTGATGCCTTCTTCAATCAAGTAATGAAAAAGCAAGTTTAGTACAATGAATTGTAGAAATGTCTCATATACAAACCTTTATCCCTGTAAATAGAGAAGATGGGTATGCTTGCCATTTGCTGAGATAACAACCACCTTGAAACTTTTCTTAATGGTTGCTTAAAAGTAAGGTCTTTTATTCAGGCTTGTTATCAAAAAGAGGAGCCCTCATCGGCTTTTGCTGAACTGCAGTAAAACAGAACTCCCACCTTCTTATATTGTAGTGAGTGCTGGGCTCAGGACGCAGTTACGCTAGTGTGGTGCTAGCTGATTAAAGTTTTAACTAAAATATAGTAATGCTACACCGGGAGCAGCTGGATTTTCATGTTTTAGATAAAGATTATTTTCAGAAGTACGAAGTAGAGACTCGACAAGAAAACACTTTACTGTCAATCACATATCGCTTCAGCCACTTGCTCCTTTCCATAAAAGGAAAACCACATCTAAATCAAGAACCAAATCGTGACGTAGCCTATGGAAAGTTTCTTTACCTGCCCTTGACTCTGCTGTGGGCTGGAGTTAGGGAAGCTGAAGGACAATTGTCTGTTGGCTGATGCAGCTTGGGTTAATATATTTGACTTTCCTGTTGCTCAGTTGCATTTGCATACTGGGAAGGGAGTGTTTTACCAAGTACGTAGTTTGAGATTATAATTTGGAAGCACAATATTTACACAAGTAGTAGCAGGGAGGGGTTTCTGTTTGTTTATTTTTCAGGACTATGAAGTACAAAAGTAATAGTGACACTGGATTAAAAAGAAAAACTTAAGTTTGATTTCTAAATATCTGCTGGTGTTATGTAACCTGGTATCAAAACACAAACATGTCTTTGCAAGGTGGTGGTGGCTTGTGTTTAAACCGTTTCCTCTGAAAGCGATGCTGGTTTTATTTCATAGTAGACTCCTATTGTATTCTGTTACAGTTAACTACATTGAGCACAATACTCTAATGTGGAAAAGACTATCAAAGATAATAACTATGAAACCCTAGGTGATCGTAACAACTCCACCAGTAGGCTTTGCATTGGTCTTCAAAATAAATATATCTAGAGTCCTGAATAGTCTAAATCCCAACAGTTTGACATGCGTTTCTGACAAACCTTGCATTTCTGAAAGTTGGCTTAAATTGGTCAAATACAAACAGTCCTTAAGGAAACACTTATCTTGATATAGATACATGTATGTAAATGCAGTCAAGTAAAAATAGTAGGTAATTTTTTAAAAATATGTATAATATGAAGTCTTTTCACAAGAGAGGCTGCGTGAGGATGGAATTATCTGTTAGTCACGGAAATCAGAAGATGGCTGGATGCATAATGCTAGGGCAGATCAAGTAATGAACAGTGTGAATTTAAGGGTCTATCATGAGCATGAACTTCAAGGGCTGCTACGGCACTGCTGCTCTGTCTTGTCTGTGCACGACTGAACAATATGCAGTGGAAAATGAAAATATTTTTAAAAGCTAAAATGTCGAGCCTTTTATTATATCCATAAACTAAAGAATATCAATAAAATACTGAAACCAGTATATTATCTATTATTTATACAACTTTCTGCAGTGAACCTCTGTAACCAGTAATGTCCAGTCTGAACAATGTGTTTAATAAAGCAGATAAGAACCTAAACATAAGGGTAGGTTTTAAAAAAAATTGGTCTTACAAATGTTATTTAAAATTCTAGGCGAAGTACGTATCTAGCCTAGGCTATTTTAAAGATAGATGGGAATAGTGGGGTTTTTAACTGTAAGAAAAGAGTTATGACACTATCTAGTATCACATTTAAGTTAGTAATCTCTGCTTGTAAGAAAAAATATAAAGTACTTCTACACGTATTTCCTTCATGTACTTATTTTTTTATTCTGTTTTGCTATACTTGCCAACTAAAATTGAGGCAAACGTTTATATTCATTATTTCCTTTTGCAATTACTAGTGCTAAGACCTAGATTAATATTTTTCTAAGCACTTATATGTCTAGGCTTTATATCCCTCTATGTTTGAATGAAACTAGAGCACAGTTAGCAAATCAACCATACAGACAAGCAATACTGCTTTGATTCTTCAATATGACGTAAAATTCCAAAGAATATACTAAAATTAAGTGTAAAAATGATCCTCTGGAAAAAAAAAATTGCTGTTATTGACATTCAGTGTGTGTTTGGAAGCAGAATTATACATTTGCTGTGTTGCTTTTAGTTTAAAAAAAAAAAAAAACAAACCAAAACCAATATCCAGTAACTTCAGTAACTCCAAAAACAGTGAGTTACTAAAATCTTGGAGAAGATATTCTTGATTTTTTTTTATATCGGAGTTGCTCATATTTGATACGTCTTACTCAACCATTGAAATTATCACTAGAGATCAATTTTTAAAATGGCAGTAGCTTAAACATCAGATTAATAAAGTTAGTGTTTTTACTTGTTTCTACTATTCTGCGTCTAACTTTAATGACAACAAGCAAAGTAGTTGATTAATTTTGTAGGAGTAATAGTGGCATTTGTAGCAGAACCATCTGGTTTACAAACTTGCAAATAACCAAGGAGTGGTACAAACAGTTTATAAATTCAGGTCTTGGTTTTCTGTTGTTGTGGGGGTTTTTTCTGGTCAGGCCTGGGAAGGCTCCCTGCGTTGCCTCCGAACACTTAAGTCACCATGTCCTGTTGACCAAAACATACTGCTCTCCTGAGTGTCTTGAATCCACTTGTGTTTTAACAGTGCTCAGGTATATTGAGCAAAGCGATACCCTCTTGGATATGAGCAAGCTTCTCACTGTTTGCATTACGGAGTAAATCAGTCATGGGAGTGGCCTGATTTTTCCCAATGTGGCTTAGTCGTTGGAGGGCATGACACAACATTTTTGCCAGAATTAAGATTATTTTTTTTGAGGATGGGGAATCTGGACTTCTTTTCCAAGTTTTGAAAGTGTTACCTAGTTGTCTAAGAACCTTCTTCTGCGTCTTCATTCTCTCTTTGTCTTATCTCAGTGTTTGTCTAGCTTGTCACCATTCCCACCAGCTTGTTGACCCTGCTCCTCAGTATTCCTTTTCTTATTGCTATGTCTCTGCAGCCAGTGCCTCCAACCTCTAATGCCTGTAGCTAGTGCTAGTCAAACCTCTTCTCTTTTACTGTTCAAGCCACTGAAGTACATAGGAACAACACTTTTAATGTGAGCATTGGGAGTGTGTGTGGGAAAAATCCTCTTCTGCTAATGTATGGACTCTCCAAGTATGTTAGCTGTTGAACTTTTAACCAGCTTTTTGAATATGTGACATCTCAGTTCAGGTCATTCAGGTTTAATAAAGCAATCAATTAAAATCAATTGCTCATAACGGAAAGTCTTAGGAAACTGAAGGCGTAGGTGTGAACATCAGGGCTGTGCATGATATGACAAGTTGTTTCTTAATGTCATGGCCAAATGTGTAGCTTCATAGCTGTTTTTTGAGGCTGTCTGGGTTCAGCAGTCACGCACATTGCACAAATTAGAATTTTTGTAAAATATTTCATAACGCACCTGCCATCTTGCAATTGCAAAGGTTTTTTTAAGCATATTCTGTAATTTTTGCTAATCAGTTCAGCAGCAGCAGTTTCCTTTTTATTGTTTTGGGGGGAGGGAGAAGAAAGGGAGCTTTATCTGAGCTCATCTTTACGGCTTCAGTACAGTGTTTTACTGACATTTATGGCATGCTGTTTTTTTCTCTCCCTTTCAGAAGAGAAACCTGATTGCTCCAAGGCCCGCTGTGAAGTCCAGTTTTCTCCTCGCTGTCCAGAAGATTCCATCTTGATTGAAGGCTACGCTCCTCCTGGTGAATGCTGTCCACTCCCAAGCCGTTGTGTGTGTAATCCTGCAGGCTGCTTGAGGAAGGTTTGCCAACCTGGCTATTTGAATATATTGGTTTCTAAGGCATCAGGAAAGCCAGGGGAATGCTGTGATCTCTATGAATGTAAACCAGGTAAAAGTGGACACAATTTTTTTCCATTTTTCAGTTTTTTCGAACTGTCTGACAAGCACAATAACCTCTATAATTGCATCTAATAAAACCTATATAGCCTCTAAATTCTTCTGATTCTTCTTCAAAATTAAAATGATTATATATGGGTAATACCCATTAAAAAAAGAAAAAAAGAAATATTATGATAAATTTTACTTTCTTTTTTTCTTCAGACGTTAATTTAAACTGAGCAACAAGGGAAAAGTAGCCTGGTGAGAATATTGAGTTTCTGTAGATGCTACTAGTTAAAGTGACATACTTTATATACCGATTAGATTATACAAAGGTTTTTCATAGTTGGAATATATTGTGCATGGACAGGGAATTAAGGTTTCTGTCTTAAGATTTCTCTAGTTTACAAAGTGATGACCCTTAAAAACTGGAAAGCAAAAGGATTTTGGAGGAGCATAGTGAAAGACTTCACAACATTTTCAGTATTTACCCATTTTTCCATTTCATGAGAACACGAATCACCCTTTCTTGTGATTTATTATTCTTGGCGAAGTGGAAGACGTAATTCTTTCTTCCTTTTGATCCAGGCTTTGGTAAAGATGAGTAATAAAAATAGAGGGATGAAAGCAGGCATATAAAAATTGTATAATCCAAAATCTTATATGCAAACAGGTTCAAGTATGCTTAAGCTGTACCTTTTCCATACTTGTTTAACATTTTCTTAAATCCTCCACAGAAGAAGATTGTACAGTCTTTATATCTTCTAGTGCTTCTCTTTGTATTTTTTCTCATATCCAGTGTAAATCTGCCTGAGTGGAAATTTCAGCAAACTGTTTGTTCTCTATCTTGAGTAGTTGGTGAAAAAGTCTTAATAATAATTTTTGCTCTGGAACATTTTGTCCATTTTAGTCATCTTTTGTCTAGAATTAGCTGTAATTTCTTATGGCGTAGTTTCTTTAGACTCCTTCCTTGTTAAGTTTTCTTAAGTTTATCCACATGTCTTTAAAATATGGCTTCCAAAAGCAGAGTACTATTTTGGGTTAGTCTTCATCAGCACTAAATACTGTAGAATAATTACTTTCTGTCTTTCATGCAAAATTCTAAATAAGAGCTCACTCTTTTGCAAGAGTTGTATTTAGTTTGTGAAATGCTGTGATCCCAAGATCTTACTGTAGCGTGACTGCTACTGAACCACTATATTTGTACATTTTAATTCTTCCTATATATACTTAAAATATGCCTTTACTGAATTTTATCATGCTGGCTTTGGATTATTTCTTTATTTCTCAAAATAAATGTTAGCTCTGATCATGTCCTCCTGACTGTTAATTGCTTTCCCATCTTGTAGTCTGCAAATAACTCAGTCCAAACTTACCTTTGTAGGTTACTTCTTGAAGGTTGTTTTCAGCTTGTTAGTATTACAGAATCTTCAAATTGAATATGTGATTACTTATTGCATTAATGGATTTATGTAACTGTGTGTATGTTGTTTTCTGAAGTAAGTTTATTTTTTGTTGTAGGGAGTTAAGAGGTGAAGGTACGTGGACTGGAAAAATGAAGATGTATATTAGGAGGGTAGAAGAGTAGAGGCTTTGAAGAGATTGGGGAAGGAGACTAATGGAATTTAAGGGAAATGTAGGGCTTTGCAATGGGGGTTAGAAATTGAGAGGCTAAGGGAAAGCAGAGAGTTCTCCCCCGCCTTGGGAGATGATGAAGGTGTGTTTCTTCGGCAGTGGCTAAGAGGATGAGGAGTGTAGGTGGGTACTCTTGTGCATCCACGCAGCGATAGGTGATGAAAGATGTAATGGCTAAACTACAGAGTAAGTGGGGCCCCTACTTGTTGCAGTGCCTTGGCTTTAGGGGAAAAAAAGGGAGTGCTATTAATATGGAATTATTAGTCACTACATTAGCCTCACTTTTGTCAGGTTAGACTTCAGCGGCTGTCCAGGTTGACTTTTATAACTTTGGTCTCGATGTTTCTTTCGTGTGCCGTTTGACATAGTGGGAAGATCGCAAAGGGAAAAACAAGCCAACACGAGACTGGAAAACAGGGAAAGGAGCAGGTGAATGTTGACAAATCTCAGTAGACTACAAATTACTTAGCATAGAAGGCCTTTTTTTTTCTTAATGGCAAATCTTTGCAAATCTGAACTTTTTTCAGTTTTCAGAGGAACCTTGTTTTCAAAGAGTGTAAACTGTACTTATATAGACAACATAATTTGTGTCTGATATACGAAGAAAATTATAGACTAAACAAATAATGAAATCTTTTTAATGTTTCCTTTCTTGTAGAAAGTTTGGGGATTTTATTTTTAAATTTGCAAGTCAGCATGAACCTTGCTGGTTTTTTCCATCTGAACTGTTCTGTCATGTTCACCACTGTCTGTGGTTTTAAATAAATTTATTTGTTTAAGAACAGGCAATGGAATATCTTGTTTTAGTAGCATTATATATTCATAGGCTTATAGAATTATAGAACAATTTAGGTTGGAAGACTAGATGACTCTGGAGGTAATCTAGTCCATCCTGCCTCTCCTGCACTGTTTTATGCTATTTATTCTCTATGTGTATATACATGTACTACTGTATATGTAGTAGCATATAACTGGTTTTATGTATGTGTGTGAACACTATGTGAATTATCTATGTGGATTTGCTGAAATAGTCGTCATGAAGTAAAGTCAGATAGTGCTCCTTATGTGGCAGGAATATTTATTCAGCCCATTGTAAGTCTGGTAATAAACCTTGTATCTTCAGAGTTTGACTTGGTATCATGAAGAATTGTAGGAAAGAAGAGTTGGAGAGGAACTGAACTAGCAGTGCTCCATTTCATGTTTCCTCTGTTTTTAATGCCACGTTGCTGAAAAAAATGGGACAAGGGACAGTATAAGGCCTGGTCGATAAGTGTTCATGCAGAGTTTCTTACGGAGCTGATGTCGCTAGTTTTACTGAATAGTGTCAGCATGTCTATGGAGTTTACATGTCAAACAGAGAAAACTGTTTTCCATACTTTGCCACAGACCTAAAAACTTTAGTTCTGTGAGTGGTGCTACTAGAGTGTTGCTCTTGCACCTCCGTGTCTGCTTAACCAGCTTCCATAGAGGTTTTGCACCAGCAAGGGCTTTCCGGTGGAAACAAATTGCCAGAAGCTGCGAGGACTGTTTCCTATGATAGCAGTGCCGCCTTATGCCGATATAAAGTGTTTGCGCAATTAAAGCATAAATTGTGTTTATTTCTGTTCCTTAAATAAGATGTCACTGCTCTCCAGTTTACAGTGGCATTTGAGTTTGGAGCCTTCTGCTGAGAACTGCATATGTTCAAATACTGTGATTGGCAACAGTGTTGCTGAAAGTAAAATAGGAAGTGTTTCCTTAACACTAAATGCTAGAATAAAAATAAAATCTTTCATTTTGAGATCTGCTTCCTCTTCTACCCCCTTTACTTTAGGAATACAATGATTAAGGGCGTTGGCATTCAGTTAAAATGAATAGTGAAGAAATTTAGTAGCTTAGTCATACCTGTCTATTAACCTCCAGATTAATTTGTCTTAAATGTTCTTACCCATTGCTCCACCAAGCATCTCGCCACAGTTGTAGTACCTACTGAGAACAAGTATGTCGTGTCCCTTTTGTTTTGCTGCAGTTGCTAAGCTCAGAGATGAGATAGCGGTGGTCTGGTGCCATAAGCAACCTACTTTGTTCCTACGAGCTGTGTATAACTGGCTGTTCATGTGTGGTGAATTTACTGAATGAGCACTGAATTTAGTTTTAAGCTGGGAGTTACAGTTCTTAAAAAGTATTCTCAAAAATAAGGTTTTTTAATAAAGATAGTTTGAATGAATGGTCTCAAATGGAGCTGCATAATGTGTTAAAAGTAAAAATAAAAATAACCTGAAACAAGATTTGTGGGAGTATATGTGCCTCTTTTGCTAAGAATCTAAAACAGTATGAGCAATGATGTTTTTAAAATCATGTTTGTTTATTTAAAGATGGAGTTAAAATCTAATCTAAAAGGTATTTTGCTGGAGTTGTGATAGGAACTCTAGCTGCCACTTCTGAATAAAGAAAGGTAAATAGTTTACTTCGGCAGTTATCCAACAGATGTTTGTTGTACCAGTATTGATAACTTTTTTTTTAATATGATGAGGTGCAGATTGTCATCTTTTAGTTTCTGACATCCTTGGGGAAGCATTGGGAAATGTCTGTCATGCTAGAGAGAACCTCTGTTGAAAAGACTGCTCATTTTTCATTCTTCTAGCAGTCTTCCTGGCAGACCTTTCATTCACTCACCTTTTCCAGCACCCCTGCATGGCCTGAAAATTACTCTTACTGAAATGGAGGGTTTTTTCCTGGTACCAAACCTTGGTTTAAACACAATTGTAAAGAGAATGTTATTGTTTGGCTTATTTCTTTGGAGAGTTCTGTGCGGTCAGGGCTTGATGGAAAGTCTGAGATCAGTAGCAAAATTTAGTAGGTAGTGTGTAATGATGCACAGGGAAGTACCTTGTGCTCCACCCTGGTACGGCTTTGGCATTGAAAATCAGATCTGGAATTTTTAGTCTTGCACTAAGGACAAGGGTCACCAAAATCAAGTTTTTATACATAATTGAGAGAAACAAAGTTAATGATTTTTTTGTTCTCTGTTGCTTACAGAAATAGTACGTGTTGTTTTATTGGATGCTTTGTTTGAAGCTGATATTGAGAGGACTTAAGAGATGAGATTGGGAAAGGACTGGAGAAAATGAGTGGGGAAGAATTAGACATACGTTTCTATTGGAGCTGGAGAAATGGCTTGTAAGTTGACAATGATGGAAAAATGGAGGGGAAAAAAAAATCAGCAAATGCAAGGGTCCATGTTGGGAAATACCTGTGATAGGGTAGTTAAGGAAGTGATTCAGACAGTGATACAACTGCATTGAAAGTCTGGGAACGCCATCTGTTCTGGTCCTATTTAATACGTTCTTAAGTGTGAAGAAATGTAAAGAGGATGATGCATTGTCATGGAGAGATGCTTTCACACTTTCTTTCTCCTTCTCCCAGAGTAGCAAGTGTAACTACCATTATCAGATGTAGTCACGTTGTGTTGCATTATTTATGAGGGACCAGTTGAAATGCATCTGAACAGAAAGGAAAGGGTGTTATGTGATGCTTCTTAGCGGCTGTAGAAGCAGACTGTGTACTCTTGTACTGGACCCTCAGAAAGCTGTGACTTCTGGAAAAATACGAAGTCTTTCCTGTGCTGAGCCACTGTGTTGCATCAGAGATGCAAATACTACCTTGATCCTGGATCTTTAGATGCATGGCTAGCTATTTAGATCTTGCGCCTGAACTGTACATTCTATTCTTTCAAAATCCAGCATAATATGTAAAGGTGAAACTTAATATACTTGTGTTAACATATTCTACTATAAAGTTATTTTCACCTAGGTATTAACAGTTTCATGATCAGAGACCTTTGGTTTTGTAGTCTACAAAGGAGGTTGCACATTACTGCAGCTATGTCAGGGTCTGCAACCATGGTATGGTTTCTGATACATTCTCATAGAAAAATTAGTAACTCCCAGATGCTACTGTGTACAAATTCAGTGCATGAGAAAGTTCCTGAAGACTTGTAAGCAAAGGTTGATTGGATGCATCTTCACTGATAGGAAATTGCAACATGTTTATGAGTTCTTGAAGACATATATTTGTCAAACTACATATTTAAAGCTTAAAGTTTCTAGGATAGACAAAAATGATTTTTTTAGACAGGATTTTAAATTTTTTTAGCTTACAAAATATATAACAGCTTATAATAAACCTGTTCATGAAAAGTACACTTTGCAATTATTGGAATCAAAGCAAGATGTGAAAACAAAACTAGTATTTCAGTGGCAAATGTTTGCAGTCTTATTTTTTAGGACGGTAGTACAGCTAATCTGGGGGACATCTTTTTAAGTAATGAAGAATCCGATTATAGACTGTTTTGTAATCTTACAAAATTTTCAGCTTCTCTGGAAGCTTGGCTCAATACTTTTTTCCCAGTCTGAGAAATCCATTTAAATCAGGGGAAAAAAAGGAGGAACTTTTTTCCCTTCTTCAAATATCTTTCATCTCTTATCTCTCTTCATCTCTTGTGAGGAAAGCTGGGGCTGTTCAGCCTGGAGAAGAGAAGGCTCAGGGGGATCTCATCACTGCATATAAATACCTGAAGGGAAGGTGTAAAGATGGAGCCAGGCTCTTTTCAGTGGTGCCAAATGGCAGGACCAGAGGCAGTGGGCACAAACTGAAACACAGGAGGTTCCCTCTGAACATCAAGAAACACTTTTTCACCATGAGGGTGACCGAGCACTGGCCCAGGTTGCCCAGAGAGGTGGTGGAGTCTCCATCCTTGGAGATATTCAAAAGCTATCTAGACATGGTCCTGGGCAACCAGATCTACGTGGCCTGGCTTGGGAAGAGGGTAGGACCCGATGACCTCCAGAGGTCCTGTCCAGCCTCAGCTGTTCTATGATTAATCTAATAATGTAATAATAAACATCTCCCAGTTTGGAGAGAAGGCTGAGGTGGGTTATGAGTGTGGATTATAAAATTCTGTGGGTCATGGATAAGCTCAGTGCATACCCTTTGTTCACCAAATCCTACTAATCCTTACAAGAATTGGAGGGTGCTCTAGAACTAGTAAGAGATCAATATAAAATAAATAAAAATGGGTAAGTCAAATCAAACAGGGGAACCACTGAGTGACTACCGCCACTTAACATGAGAATTTTCTATTTGAATGCTCTTGATTTGGGGTTTGTTTGTAATTTTCCTTAGGTTTTTTTAATAAGGACTGTTTGGGCTGCTTTTTGGTGATAGTGAGCCATGTACTAGCACACTATAACCACTAGAAAGAATTTAAACTGTTTAGGAAGAAAGAGCGCCTTAGTTGAGACTTGGTGGCATGATTAGGGAGTTTCCTTGTGTTTTTTCTTTCATTGTCATTACTGGTGTATGAAAAGATGGACGCAGAAATAGCTGTGCAGTAGCAGCTTGTTGGTAGAACTCGTTGGCTGGTTTCTCCCAGACAGCTTACATGGGGAGGAGGCAGAGGGGTCCTTGAATCTGGGGAGGTAGAAGGGTTACTAGTTTAAATTCAGGAATCTGGACATTGGTAGTTACTTGGCACAACAGACTCATGCAAATCGTATTGGTTGCGTTGGGCCATACTGATGAGCTCATGATTCTCACTGCCTTTTGTGATAATGGAGGAACTAGATGTATGTTTCTTACAGAAGAGCTGTTTCAAACGTGTTATTTGTTAATAAAATGGAACATAAAACTCTAGTGCTTTTTAAAGTGAAATATTATAAAATTAAGTATTCCCGTCTTAAAGGCAAATAGGTATCTTTGTATGTTTACGAAGAGATATAAAAGTTAATTTGATAATTGCCATTGTCGAGATGAGTAACTGGAATCTTTAAATTTAGTAACTTTCTGCATTGCTCCACAAAATGGACTTCAATTAAATTTGTGCATTTTTCAGTGAGAACTTCTTGAACTTGTCAGGTTGCTCTGATTTAGCAGATGGCTTCGTTTCCCAAGTAACTGGAAAAAGGCAGATTCTGAATGTCACTTATACAGAGGATGCTTACATACTCATGTACTTTGAAAGTTAATGGTCTTGAGGACCAACCTACTTGTCCTAACCTTGATGAGCTGCAAGTTGGTTTCATTGAACTTGTGCTTTCATTTAAATGCTTAATGAAATATGCTAAGTAGATGTAATTCTGAGACTGATGTCTCATTATGGCCAATTAAATTATTATTGCTGTATACCTCTGAGGATCGAGCCTGAAAAATGTAGGACTAGAAAACAGAAAATGGGACTTAGAAAGGTATCAGCTCTTGCAAGAAGTGTGATGTAGCATTCATTGCCAAGCTGCTTTAGCACTGCAGTAAGCGGTCGTAATAGTGTCAATACTGAAGTGCAAGTTTAATCAGTAATCAGGGATATCGTACTGTATAATTTTCAGTCTGATAATGTTCTGTTCATCCTGCCTACTCAGTCAGTAGGAAGCTTACTTCTTTAAAGAGGGAACCATGTTTTATTCTGTACTTTTAGTATAATTATGATAAGGGATAGCAAATAGATAATGCTTGAGCTGGTGTTGTTTGTTAATGTGGGAGATTTAGGACCAAATAAGATAAAGACATGTTTCAACTCTCCTGAGTATGACTCATAGAATTAAATGTGTATTCAGCCTGATTTTTTTTGCATTTCTAAGCATATGTTGCTTTCTAAAAAGCTCAGTCAGTCTTACTAGTTATGCGGGATTCTTCATCTTGTTAATGCAGATGGATTTGGTAATTTGCATTTCATTTTGCCCATATATAAATACCTAAACAACACAACCTGATGGAATAATCCTTAAAAATGTAGTTTACATGTGCAGGCATAAATCCATATTGTATCTTTAATATTTTTTTATTTCCTATGACCCAGGTATTTTACTCCTTAAACAGACTTTAATCAGAAAAAAATTAAACAATGAATTGTTTACTGTTTTAAAAGCTGTGGTGAAAGTATATTCTCAGTAACCTGGTATATTTCCTGTAACTAATATTATTCACAGGTGTAATGATTGTTTGAGGTTGCCTGTCTCACTTTTACAAATTTTTTATTAACTAATATTAGTTCAGTTTCTTCCCAAATCAATAACTTTCAAAAGTGAATCTTAAAGAGAACGGAAGTCTTTTTGTGTTCTGAGCATGCTTTCATTAGATAATTTTTCTGACTTAAATTAAAAGGCTGATGCATAACTGGTTGCTTATGATGAAGTAATTTGCAAAAAACTTCTAAAGCATGAGTAAAAGGAATTTTCTTCTCCCCTTCTTCCGTAGTGTTCAGTGTGGATTGCAGCACAGTCGAATGTCCTCCCGTTCAACAGGTTGTTTGCCCACTGGATAGCTATGAAACCCAAGTCAGGCTGACGGCTGATGGCTGCTGTACCCTGCCCACAAGGTTGGTGTCTTGCTGGCTGAGTGTTTTTAACTTGTTCTCTACAATTCAAGTACTATAAATACAGGCAATAAATGTTCATGTATCTTTTATTCTGTATTAAGTAGGTTAAAGGTGTATCAGGCTGATAGAAGTACGAAATCTATCTTTTTGAAGCAGAAGAAAATTCTTCTCAGTGCAAATGCATGAAGCTGATTTTTGCTAAAATGATTTTGAGGGGTTTGTGCCTCTAGATTGTTTTTCAATGTATTCAATTAATTTTACAAAAATAAATTCTTTTGAGAAACTTTTGAAGGTCTTTGATGGTAAGGAATTAAATGATGGAGGTGGCAGAAATGCCAGAGAAAATATCACCTAGTTAAAGGAAAAAAGGTATTTTTTGTATGTGGAAGACCACTGTAAGAAGTTTCAAGTACTTCTTGCTTGCATTTTACTTCCGTTGTTGTTCAAGTAGGTATAATTTATCACAACTCAGAAAAATAAGACAGTTTGGAGTTAGTTTGTTCCAAAATTCTGCACCACTGTTTCAGCTTCTGTTTTTACAACAGACTTCCCAAAACCTGATTCAGCAATATGCCCAATAAATATGAATTCAAGCAAAAAGTACCATCACTGAAAACATTTTACACAAAAAAGAAAATATTTCTTGTAGATGTTACTAGTGGGTTTATTTGGTATGAAGGTCTTCGCACCATACAATATTGCCATATTCCTAACCCCTTGTGAGATTGTAAAGGAGCGGTAAACTTGCGAAGAATTCAGAAAGTAGAAAATGGCAAAGGTTGTGTAATGAATCAGGGATCTTCAGTTGGGTACCCTTTGGGGTACACATTTAATATGGTGACTTCTTTGAAACTGTTGTTTCCATGAAATATGAGGGTCTTTCATTGCATGGAGAGTCAAAAATGTATCTATTTAAAAAAAAAAAAAAAAAATTTAAGACAGGAGAAGAAATGCGAAGAACTTCATGTAGCGCAGTAATCCTGTCTATTAGAATTTGAAAATATATTTCTAAACATGACAAATTTTATTTGTAATTGTAGAATACACATAGTAGTCTGCTACTTAAAAATTACTTATTATCCTCATTCAGTGAATGCTACAAATATTCTTTTATTCAGAGTTGTTTTCTTTTCTTTTTTTGTTTTCTGAATTTTGGACCAGAACATGGTATGGATTCTCAGTGTCTTCCCTTTATTCTTTAACATATTCTCATTAACCTTCCTAGGAATTACGATAATTCCATATTAGTTGAGAGCTGACCTGGCTAGTTGGGATTGCATGGGAGGCTGTAGATTTTAACTAGTCATTGTACTGGCATTGCTGCCAGTACAGCTCAGCATGTTCAAGACAACTAGAATAAGATGCTACTAAGGACAGTATTCAGAAAGATAGATTATAAAGTCAAAGAAGCAATCTCAGGTTAAAATTTAGATTTAGTTCAGATTAACACTCAAACCTTGACACAATGGAAAATTTAGATTAATGGTAGATTTTTATTTCCAAATTTGTTTCAACTTGCTGGATTAAAAAGAGCTAAATAGGCTAAATTATTTTTGTTTCCCAAAAGTAAAATTGTGTTCTATATTGCTTGGGTGGAGGGAATGAAAAATATCCACCTTATTCTTTGTAGATGATAACTTCAGTGTTCCTTCTGTCAGGGAATGTAGAGTACCGAGAAAATAAAACTTCATTTACTTCAGAAAAATGACAAGTTGGAAATATTTTCTATTTGTAGCGCACCCATGGGAACTGATCTTAAATAAAACACCTAGAACAAACATGTCCTTGAAAGAATCTTTTTTCTTTCTTCAATAATGTTTAAAAATAAAACCCGTTGGTTTGCTGTGTGTTAACTGTAACTGATGTCTGAAACGTACTTGTACGTGTGCATGGTACTTAAGTGACAAAAACAGTATTCCCATCTCCTGCCCACAAAGACCTCAATTGTACAAGCAGCCATAGAGCATGTGAATTATTAGATAATTGTGACTTGTGCTGAAACCTCTTGGAAATCAGATTGCTGTGCATTAGTGGGATCAGAGTTTAACAAGGGATCAGAGCTGGGATAGATGAGTTCTTAGCTCCTGGAGTCTTATGATTGGATCAGGATTTCTGAAGGGTTTTGTGTTAATAGCTCTGTCCTCCTTGATCTGTAAAACTGCAAAAAAACATAATTAGCATAATCTAGTCCTAAGTCTGCAGGCAGGTTGAAACAATTATAGGTGTCTTATACTCCTCCATTAATTTTTAATTTTGTGGATCAGTCTGTGTTGCTGTATATAGTTATTATGTGGGTTGCTAGATTTTTGGATTGCCTTAATTCAGCTAAAGCAATAATGCACTTTTTAATAGAGTAGGTGAGAAGGAAAGAAGAAAAGCTGAATCTGGCAGAAATAAGATCGTATAGATGCTTTACACGTTGTATGCCTGCTAGTTTAGTATTTAGTTATTTAGATTTTAATATACTGCTGTGCTTCTTAAAGAAGACAGTGGCATAGCTGTCATTCATGTGCTGTAGGTAAAGGTATTACTTGAAGGGGGGAATAAAGGAACACAGACATGGGGATAATCAGAAAAGAAAGATTAGATCAAGGTTGGAGGGAAGGGAAGTATATGTATGAAAAAAGAGAGAGCAGAAAGGGAAACTAAGTTCAGTTACTTGGAACATGAAAGTCAAACCATTTGAATTCAGGTTCAATGTTTCCTCAGATTTGAGGAAACATTGGAGCTTTATATTTGAAGCCAGGATCTCTATCCCACATGAGACTTGCATTTCAAAACTACAGAAAAAGTCACATAAAGTGCAGATTTATGGATGAATGACTCTACACTGGGAAAAGTAGATGTTTTTCCTTAACTTTGGAATTTCTTACTAAACTCATTATGAAATATTGACATTGCATTGACTGTGATTCAGTTTAGAATCACCTAAATCCATATCGTATCTCTTTGTAATCGTTAGAATTCAGTTCAAAAGAAGTGGCACTGTATGTTTTAATATACATTTGAGAATAGTTTATTAAGAGCAAAGAAATAGTGTTTCATAAGGTCATAGTCTTTCGACTTCATGAAACTACTTTTGTTAAGATTATGGACTCTAATTTCTTGAAAGAGTTATTTGTTTCATTTACTGCCACTAAAATAAAGGCTTAATACCAGCAGAATCGGAGAGGCGTCAAGGAGAGTGTCACGGTTAAGGATGGATGGCATGTCACTGACTCTGTTAACAAGTAGCTGACAACTTCACATACAGCAGGACCAGACTGACTTCTGTCCCACATCTTGTTCTTGGCTGGTTTATTGTATGTGGTATGCTGGGAAAACAGAGACCCTTAAGTCTGGTGATAAGTTGGCGTTTGTTTTATGAGTGGGCTCTTGAATGCATATTCATATTATTGAAAGCTCCTTTAGCAATGCCAGGGGAAAAGTGGGAATAATAAACAAATATCTGATACCGTAAGTTCTTGTACTTGCGTTCAGAGGTTACGTTTAGTTTCACACTGATTTCTAATGCAATACTGCAAACAGAACAGCCTACTGAATTTGGCATTAATATCAAAATACTGTTGCTTCAGCTTTCATCAGACTGTCATGAAACACTTGCCTTAAATTCCCAGCTATTATGTTAGGAAAGCTAAATTATATGTCTGTCTCTGGTCTTGATAAAGATGTTCTCTCCTCCAAGGAGCTTATCAAATAAAAATGTATTAGAGCTCTTACAGAGAACATGTTATCACAGTTCTGTTAATACATGTTTGTCGTCTTCTGTTACAAAGTTAATGAGAGCTCTTACAGAGAACATGTTATCACAGTTCTGTTAATACATGTTTGTCGTCTTCTGTTACAAAGTTAATGAAGGGATGACCAATGTGAAGTGTACAGAATCCGTTATCTTCAGATGTATCCAATTTTTCTGTTGTGAATTAATTTTCTTCAGATTTTCAGATCCCTTTGAGAATTTTTTTGTAAGTGTAAAAATTTTTATCAAAATCTATTTAATTTTTTCTCTATGAAGAATGGACTGTAATAACAGGAGCTGATATCAGTGATTAGTGTTGGCTTATATCTTTACTGCTCACATGGTTTTGTACATTTTTCATAGGATTATATACAAAGGAGTAAATGGCATGTTTGGATAGCTTTGCACCAAATATTTTTGGATTATCTTTTTTCTTTCTGGCTGCTCTCTTTATTGGAATCATTTTGTAAATTTAGTCTTTACTAGGTCTCTTCTTCCTGCTCTAGTTTTATCCCCCTGCTTCTGTGCTCTTTTTCCCTTCATGTAATCTAAGTATAGTCTTTTCCCTTGCTCCAGTTTCCATTGTCCCTGCTGTCGCATGTTACAGATCTTGGAAGTTCAAGATTTGTTCAGTGCTCTGTTATCATGGAGATCTTTTTTTCAGCTATTCTTGGTCAGTCTCTTAATAAAACCAGATAAACCAAGAAAATTCTAGAGAACCAGAAAGATATCGGTACTGTGACAATATTAAAAAGAACAAAACCTAAGTAATTAAAGCCTGGTTATCTTGACATCAATTCTGAGAAAAATAGTGGGAAAACTGATAGAGGGTTGAATTGAGAAGGATTAAATAATGCAATTATAGCTAAAAGCAACCGATGTTGCTTTGACAGGGACAGTTTTATGAGACTTGATTTTGTCTTTTGAAGATACTGAGCTTGCCTTAAAAATCTGACCATTAGATCACCTTCTTTCTCAATTTCTGTCTTCCGTATTCACCAGTCCTTTTCCTTGTATTGGATTCTAGCTTTTTAAAAAATAATAGGGCTTTTTAATTAATATTGTCTCACACGGTTTACTTTTACAAAATGGAAATGTAACCCCTTCCCCAAACTACTTAACAATGAAGAAAAAACATTTCCCACACCCCTCCTCCCCCAGATTTTGGAGGTGAATCAGTCCCGATGAGTCAGTGTCGTGGTCCTTTACCTCCTGAGGTGAACTCTTGCAGCATGCACATGCTGGCTTGAATGTCTTGCTG